AGTAAAGAAGGAGCGATTAGAAGAACAAGTCTTTGTAGTTTATGTTCGACCTGTCACTGAGGCCAAGGAAAAGGATAGTTCCACAGATCCAACGATTGCCAAGTTGCTAGAAGAATTCAAAGATTTGACTGAGTCGCCGACAGGAGTAGTGCCGCGACCCATCCAGCACAGGATAGAGATAGAGCCTGGCAGTAGAACACTTTGTTGGATCAAGCCCAATTCGTCTCGTTTTGGAGCACCAGTTTTATTTGTCCCCAAGAAGGAAGGACAGCTTCGTATGTGCATAGACTATAGGGGTTTGAATGCTATCACAGTGAAGAATGCTGAACCGCTGCCCACGATAGATGATCTTTTAGATCGGGTGCAGGGTTGCAAGTATTTCTCCAAGATAGACCTGAAGTCCGATTATCATCAGATAGAGGTCCATCCTGATGATCAGTACAAGACTGCGTTCCGGACTCGTTATGGGCACTATGAGTTTATAGTGATGCCCTTTGGACTAACCAACGCGCCAGCTACTTTTCAGCGTTGTATGAATGACCTGTTTAGACCATGGTTAGACAAGTTTGTGGTAGTCTACTTAGATGATATCTTAGTTTTTAGTAAGACCCTTCAGGAGCACCAGGGTCATCTGAGGCAGGTCTTGGAGAAGCTACGAGAGGCCAACTTCAAGATCAACGCAAAGAAGTGCGAGTGGGCCAAGACACAAGTCTTGTACTTGGGCCACGTATAAGAGGGAGACGGCATTAAGCCAGAGGACAGCGAGATCGCGGCGATTAGAGATTGGCCGACGCCTCGCACATTGACAGAGTTGCGGTTGTTCCTAGGCCTAGCTAACTACTACAGAAAGCTCGTGAGGAACTTCTCCACTATCGCCGCTCCCTTGCGCAGGTTGCTAAAGAAAGAGGCAATCTGGCAATGGGACAAAGACTGTATGTCTGCGCTCAAGAAGTTGAAGCGCGCGTTAATAGAGTATCTTGTCCTCAAAGTAGCTGATCCGTCCTTGCCATTTGTCGTCACCACGGATGCAAGTCAGTATGGGATAGGCGTCGTGTTGCAGCAGGGCTGACGGCCATGGCTATAGACCCGTAGAGTTCATGTCCGCGAGGATGCCCTCATAGAAGGTAGCCACCTCGACGTACGAGAGAGAACTCTATGCTCTCGGACAGGCTCTAGACCATTGGAAGCATTACCTGCTTGGGAGGCACTTTAAAGTGTATTCTGATCATGAGACCCTTAGATGGTTAAAGACCCAGGCCAAGATGACACCTAAGCTAACTAGGTGGGCCGCTGAGATAGACCAGTACGAATTTGAGCTCAAGCCAGTAAAGGGCAAGTACAACGTAGTTGCGGACGCTCTGAGTAAGAGATCAGACTGCTTTGGAGCCATAGTACACTATCTGGTATAGGAAGAGACCTGCAAGAGAAAGTGAAACAAGCGTATGCGCAGGACCCTATCTATAGCGACCTCCTAAAGAGAGTTAGAGAGGCCCCAGAGACTGAGCCAAATTACCGCACTACAGACAGGTTGTTGTTCAAGAAGACTAATGTGTTTGACCGCCTGTGTGTTCCCAACAGCGAGGAGATCCGCAATCTGATTTTAGGGGAATGTCACGACACAGAGGGGCACTTCGGTTGGCAAAAGACATTAGCCAATCTGATGCATGC